CAGATTCCCACAAGTCTTTGGGGAAGAAGTATCTCCTTGCCTCTATCCTAAATGGATAACCTTTTAGTTTTGCAACTGTGCCCCATGACCTTGTTTCACAACAGAGTGTGAAATAAGCCCCTGGTTTAATCCTATCAATACCCTTTAGAGTTTTACATGCTCAAATCAAATCTCCTCTCAATCTCGTTTGTTCCAGACTGAAAAGATTTAGTTCCCTTAATCTGTCTGTATATGACTGCACCCTGAGACCAGGAACCGGTTTTGTTATTCTTCTTTGAACTCTTTCTAAGGCCACAGATCTTGTATTGGAATGGTGATGAAATCACAATACTGTGCATTTTGTGTGTACACAAAACAATGGTGTTTTCATCACCATTCCAATACAAGATCTATCCTAAGTGAGTGGCTTAGAGGAGTGGGGGGCAGACCCAGCATTCCAAGCAGAGAATAATGCCAAGCTGTAAGAATAATACCATCTTTCAGGTGTGCAGGAAAGAAAAAGGAAGGCCATCGTGTTTGTCCAGCTCTCTACCGTACTACAGATCTTGCTGGAAGTGCCCTATAAGTGCACTGACAAAACGGTCATCTCTCCCAGCCACGTTCACACTCGCAAACTCACACAGAATCCAGAACTGTTACAGCAGAAAGACATCAGAAGTCAACCCTACACTTCAGCTGGGACAATACCTTCCACCCGCTTGACACAAGAACACAAGGAAGCTGTTTTACTGTTCTTTAAATATCGTAACACACAAACCTCCAAGTGAAAACAAATTCTGAGACATCCTGAAAAGGGATTAGCAATGAAAGTCTAGAAAAAAGGTTTGGATAAATGAACACTCCCTAGTGATGTTACCTGGTAGAAGCACCTTTTGCTGGAATTACAGGCATGACTCGGTCTGGATATGTATGATAGGTACAGTATATACCAATGCAGCACACCGAGATGGGGCTATATTTGCCCATCCCGCCTTATAGATCTGTTCAAACAGTCAGATTACAAGGAGTCTGTAGACGGACTGCAGCCTTCAAGTCACTCCACAGATTTCCAGGTGGATTGCGGTCAGGGTTCGACTGGGCCACTCAAGGACATTTACCTTTCTGTTCTTTAGCAGCTCCACTGTTGCTGTGGGTGTGTGCCTAGGGTCATTGTCACATTGAAAGGTAAACTTCCTTCACAATTTCAGTTTCCTGGCAGAGGGCAGCAGGTTTTCTTCAACAACCTGTCTTTATCAATTCTGACCAGTGCCCCTGTCCCTGCTGCAGAGAAACACCCCCATAACCGAATGCTGCCTCCACCATGCTTTACAGTAGAGATGGTGTTTTGCGAGTGATGTGCTGTAATGGGTTTTTGCCAAACATAACTTTTTGCATTTACACCAAAATGTTCTATCCTGGTTTCATCAGACCCCACATTTCCCCGAACATGGCTTCAGAATCTCCTCTGTAGTTCTGAATGCCTCAGGTGAGACTCAATGTCTCAATGTCAGAGGCTTTTCTGAGTTGTGGCTTTCTTCTTGCAACCCTCCCATATAGCCCACACTTGTCAATAAAAGACTGTAGCTCTCTCCAAGTTGCCTTTGGGCTCTTGGTACCCTCTCCGGTCAGCCTTCTTCAAGCTTGGTCATCCATTTTCGAGGGACGACCTGATCTAGGCAAGGACTAGGTGGTGCCATTCGCCTTCCACTTCTTAATGATGTCCTTCCGTGTTCCAGTGGATAGGAAAAGCCTTTGAAATCCTTTCATATCCATTATCTGCTCTGTGCCTTTCCAAAGCTTTATCTCAGAGGTCATCTCATAGCTTGTTTTTGCCCAGAGTACACTCTTTACTTTGAGATGTGCTACCCAATAGAGAGCAAATACAGGAATCACTAAATTGATCACAGGTGGAAACTAATTGTCTTGTCATATGATTTGGAAGGCAATTGGTTACAACGGAGCTAATTTACAATTGCTATTACTAAGGGTGTGTGCACTTATGCAATTATCCAACCCATTTCTCTAGGTTTTCATTTGTAATTTCTTTTCAGAATATTTGAACATTTGTTTTTCACCTGGACGTTGTGTATTACAATGTGATTTATTGTGTGTTGATTTCAGGCTGTTAGACCACAAAACGTGTTACTTTGGAAAGTGTGTGTAGACTTTCTATAGGCACTGTGAACTATACAGTATGTGTACACATTTACTATATTTAGGTTCTGTTTATCCCTGTAGCCCCCCTAGACTTCAACAATCACTGTGGTGCAGTGTGTAAGGAGTCAATAGATTTGCAATATTCTCAACTGACTGCAGACACCTTGCCTTAATAGATATGGTAGCTAACATGATTTTTAAGTCCCAATTCCTCAGTTTAGTGAAGCACAGACCAGACCTGAGCCACAGGCTCAGTTTTGTTCACCGGTGATAATCTGAGTATCTGTGTTACTTTATCATTAACAAACCTGGAGACAATTTTGACAGTTGTGGGTGCATCAACCACACAATGTCACAAATAAAGGCACAGACTAGTCCAATCTAAAACTCGGTCTAACACAAAGTCGTCAGTAAAGGAATGCCGACCTATTTTTACCACTTTAAAATACTCATATTCCCCATATCACATACACATTGATTTTAAAGCATTAATTTTATTGAGATTACTTGAAATAGAATGGTTGACAAAAGGGGGGAAGAGACTTTCTCTTATCTTGGGTAGTCTTGGCTTGTTAATCAGAAGTCTCAACAGTTGAGCATACTGAGCTGCAACTGTGAATGACAAGATATCTTTTACACAGTCTGCAAAGCTGGGACACTTTAACGGCCATGGCCTGTAAATACACAGCACCACTGGTTAAGGAAGGGTTATGTTAAAAGAGCACTCTGCCTCTGGGGAAGACCTTTTTAAGCGTGCCCATAAAACCCCATTCTGCTCTGAGGCAGTGCAAAGCATCTATAACAAGCCAAAATAAACAGGTGTCTACAACACCAGACAAAAACATAACAAAAAGCTAAAGTGAAGTATTTGTATAGGCTTTGCAACCTGAAACAATGAGCAGACACCCACGCTGTACAGCCTAGTGCCTAAGAGACAAAATAAATGTTATTTACACACAGTAAGACCATACAAGTCTTCATTCAATTGAGCCTTTTACAAAAGGACTTCCAGCAACAAACTCCAGGATAACAAAGGGCTCTGCTTGCAAGTCTGGGTCTGTACTATACAGACTTCTTTATCAGACCAGTGGGGGACAGAACAGGAGGCTCAGACAGAAGGGACAGAAGAAACACACCAAGGGCCACACGGTACTGTGTGTTACACTTCCTTCACAATACACTGAAGGTGTGGAACATACCACAAACTGATTACAACTAGAAAACAGTGTTTCACACGTCTTGCTCAGGCAATGTCTAGCGTAATTACTTCCTGACAGTTAAAAGCATGTTCCACTAATACAAATCTTACTCTCTCTTATCAACCAATATATAAATATATCAATGCCGGCAGTCAGAAAAGTGACCTTTAACAGACAATCTTGTTTTTAGTAGCGATTATTAAGTCCGGTCTGATGCATCGCCCGCCTTCATGCAAATAATAACTGAAAGCTTAGAAAAAGCTTATAAAAAGACAAACAAGAAGCACTAAATCACAGAGTGACAAGTCTGCTCCTCCGATTTGCTGCTGTCAACCTTAAGTACAAGACAACCCTGACCTTAAGTACAAGACCACCATCGCGGTAAGAAGTGTTCAAAGGGCTGTTGACACAGGAGTCCCACTACCTCTGTTGAGCTGAGGAGAGGAACAGCATCTAAAAACACTCATGTAAGAGTTCTCAAGCACCGGGGTCACACGTTAGCCGGTACGCACTAAAAACATGTGAAGCATGCACCCTCGGTTACTTTCGAAGTAAGTTCACCTTTCTATGAAAGCCTGATATTTTAATATTAGATAGAGTCTATGCCAAACAGGGCTTAAAATTCACAAACTGTACAAACGATGATAACCTTAAGCAATCTCCGAACACGTATATATGAGATTGTCATTTTTTATTGTATCGCACGAACGTATGTTGTAAATGTAAATATATCCATATATTTTCAAGAAACAGTCATATTCGAGCAATGCGAAAGGTCTCTACACGAATACAGGCTACAGGCGGAGGACATCTGCATCTCGGCCTGCTTGCAGGCGGCGGCTCACGGGTATGTGGACCTGTCCTGGGCGATGACAAAGCTCAGCACAAGAGCACAAACCCCTGAACTGAGAACTCAGAAGCTGCGGCAACACTGTCCGTGACTACCGGCTTCCGGTGCGAGTATACAACGGAATCGGCTCAATAGTTAAAACACATGCAAGCACAGCTGGCGACACCCACGTAACAAAACGAGCCAAGCACGATGACGTACAGCAGTGAAGCACTCGCATTAATGCATCTAGCTCACCCCGAGAGCCGCTGTAACTCGGGGGAATCGTGCAGACCGACTCCCGTTACTCTGCGCAGGGCAGTGCCTTTGCAACCCAAATCCAGCTGTTCCGCGTTAACTGAGCACGGGCGCTGCAGAAATGCGTAGCTCCACTCGGTAAAACGTCTTTCCCTGACGCCTTTCCTTGCGCACACGGACAACACGTTATGCGCGTCGTGTCGCTTTCTGCCCCTGCCATTGCGCCTGCTAGCTGCACCCCGCTCCGCGAGAGCCCGGCGCCGCAGCTGGGCCTAACTGTAAACACTGCACATGACAATCACTCGGGCTCGCAGGACGTCTCCGCCTGCAAAGCGCCGACATGCATTGCATCGCCGGCAGCCCGACACCCGCCCGGGGCTCTTCTCGACAGTGCAAACGCGAAATCCCCCCAAACTCGAACGCGGCGGCTTGAAAATATAAAAGTGGGGAAGCCCGGTGCCCCCATCACCACCACACCTAGCAACCGCGCTGACAGGACGCAGGAAGAGCATGGCTGCCATTGCCCCGAGAGCAGCGGCGGCTGAGGCGCCTCGGAAACGCGCCTGGGCGCCGCTTACCGATGTGGTTGTCCTCGATGTGCTCGATGAGCTCGGCCAGGGTGGAGAAGTGGAGTCCGCAGCCCCCGAACCTGCAGGTGTTGGAGAAGAAGGAGGCGGCGGCGATGCCTGTCATGGTGTTACATGGAGTGCGGCTCAGCCCGGGCGGCGGGGAAGGGGCAGGCACCGGCAGCCAGGCAGCGGCGGCAGCTGGAGCGGCGGCGGGCGGGGAAGAGGAGGCAGCGGCGGGCGGGGGAGGGACCACAGCAGCAGGGCGGCGGGTGACGTCATGCTTACCTGTTGCAGCGCCCCCACAACACTGCCCCCTCTCCCCCCTCCTCACTCGGGCACTGCTCTGTTCAGTTAAAGGGCCGTCTTCCTCTCGGCACTGCCAGATCCTGGTCTGTTTCACCCCGTAGCGGCTTCTAAGTGTTCGCCAGAAACAAAATTCAGTATGAAAGAAATAAAATGCGGAACGTCTCGCACCGCTCTTGGACGTCTACAACTGCAAGTGCCGCCGGTTCTATAAACACGTTATCTGTTCAAATCATAGTCACAAAGTACTTCCAACACGTGTGTAAACAATACATATCTACATGCATCGTCTATACTCGATACAGTATCTCCTTCCTTCCTGGTATAAGACTGTAACACCCGCTAAACCCGAGCTACCACTGGATTGTGTTAATAATAATAATAATAATAATAATAATAATAATAATAATAATAATAATATCAAATCAAAGTTTATTTATCAAATGCATAACAGTACAGCGTGCAGCAGTAGTTGCTGCCAATGAAATGTCTTTTCTGTGAGCTCACAAAGATCACAAAAATCACAAAATTAAGGTTACAAAAATAAGGTTACATGATAATAGATAGTAATGTAATAGAAATTTAATACAACTCAATATGAATAGAGCTGCTATGTGTCCATGGCGTATGCAATATATTATGTCCAAGTACTGCAGTAGTAAGAATAATAATTTTTAACTTAATAAATAATCAACAATAAAGTTAAAAACTTGAACAATAAATTACAATAAAATTAAGTGAAAGAGAAACAGAGCATACAGGTTTTTACAGATTGACTGTAGGCAGTCAGAATAGACCTTTGTAGAAACATATTTTAAGTTTAGATTTAAAGAGAGTTTAAAAAGTTGTCTCTCGTAAAGTCTGAGGAAGCTCATTCCACAACACTGGAGCAGCGGCGGAGAGGGCTCGGTCACCCAGGGTCCGTGGTTTAAACCTGGGGACTGTGAGCAGAGGACCGGCCCCAGCTTACCAGAGCCTATGGTCGGAGTGTAAACACAGAGGAGTTCAGCCATGTATGATGGAGCCAGATTGTTTAGAGGCTTGAAAGTCAGTATCAAGATCTTATATTGAATATGTGACTTTATAGGCAACCATTGTAGAGACGTAACTATAGGAGTGATATGCTGCCAGTGTCTGGTGTGAGTAAGTAGTCTTGCAGCAGAGTTTTGAAAATTTTACAACTTGTTTGATAAGAGAGTTAGGGAGCCCACAGAGTAAAGAGTTGAAGAACTGAAGCCATGATACTGTAAATGCATGAATCAGGCACTCATTTCAAGGAGGCAAGCATCATAACCAAACATCTGAGTCATCATGATGTTACATTTATTTAAAATTAAAAATTAAAAAACAAAGCAAGTAAACTTTTTTAAGTCTGTTTTACAGTAGTTAAAATAAACACGCCCAAGCAATTAGAAAAAGCTAAAAAAAAACATAATCATATATTTAGAAATGCATGAAACATACATGTTGAACAGCGATCTGTGCAGAAGAGTAGAAGCTTCTGCTCATGTCGTATTAATTCATACCCAGACCTCTCTGCCAGTTGGTCCACAGTGCTCCTGTGTGATCCAGGGGCTCTCCTTCAAAGACCAGTGACACTGGGGTATTTAAGCAAACCTGTTTCACACTACTCTATTAGCTCCTCGGTACACAGAGCAGGAGAAGGAGAGCTCCTGTTAAGATCATTAACACAGCAATTCACTGTGTTTATCACTTTAACTTTACACATGGGATAGGATTCGCCTCTGAAGCCCCACAGTATCCACTCTCACCACTGGAGCCCCCACACAGCAGGTGAAAAGGTACCTTACCAGCTCAAACCAGGGGAACCCTTGTGTCAGCCAGACTGCAAAGGTGAACATAACCAGAGTGGAACATAACCAGGCACTGACACCCCTCACTCTCCAGTGAATTGAGTAAAAAAGAGAAATGGTGAAAGTGGTAATAAAGCAAAACTAAGGGTGTCAGGCAGATACAAGATGTATTCTGTCAATAAAATATGGGTATAATGTAAATAATACAATGTTTGTATTTTTGCCAAACTAATATGTCTGCTTGAAAGCAGCTGCGAAAGTGCAAGTAGTAATTAATCACTTATTCATTTAATATCATTTGAAGTAAGGCAAGTTCAGAAGTGAGTACAGTGTAGGATCGATAATGACACTGTCCCATCTTGAGAATGAGTTTGGCGTTTCTCACGTTGATTTTAAATGGTTCAACTCTTATTTTACTGGTCACCGACACTTTGTTTCTTTTGGGGTTTTGGCCTCATTGAATCTGGTGTTCCTCAGGGCTCGATACTGGGTTCCCTGCCTTTCAGCATCTACATGTTCCCACTTCGTCAGAAAAATTACTTGATCTGAATGATCATTTCTATGCTAATGATACTCAAATCTATGTCCATACTAAACCTGACACCTGAAACCTGAAATAGATTTTTCTGCACTTTCTAATTGTATCTCTGATATAAAAACCTGGATGACTCAAAACGTCCTTCATTTAAACTGCAACAAGGATAAGGTCATGCTTCACAGCATGGCATCTCTCATCACCTACATAACACCAATGCAGGAATGCTGTCTGTGGACGGCACTGTGCTTGAATGTCAATCAAAATAAATACTTTAGAGGTGATATTTGATCCTGGCATCACTTTTGACCCTCATGAGGAGAACACTGTAAAAACATCATTCTTCCATCTCAGAAAAATTGCCAGACTACATCCTATGTTGACTCTGACTGTTGTTGAAAAGCTGGTCAACACATTTGTCTTCTCTAGAATGTATTACCACAACACCCTTCTTGCGGGGGTATCGAAATCCACACTGAACAAACTTAGGCATGTCCAGAATTCAGCAGCCGGAGTCCTGACCAGGTCACAAGCAAGCGATCACAGTACTTCTGTCCTGGAGTCCTTGCACTTTCTTCCTATCAAGTTTCAAGTCGACTTTGTGCTCACTTATAAGGTTCTACGTGGCTTGGCACGTCAGTGCCTACTTCACTTATTATCTGTCTGCTACCTATCTTGCATCTATTGTTTTTTGAAACTACAACCTAAATTCAAGAACTGCACAGATTTTCTCTGCTCCATTGTCATTCTGCTTCTGGAATGCCTTTGTTTATTTAAAATTGTTCCTTGTTTAAAAGAAAAGCTGTCACTGGTGAAAGATAAAGAGATAATGAACTGACAGCCTTCCAGCCCTAGCCAGGCATGTTGCTGCACATCACTCTAGCAGAGACTCAGGCACTGGGAAAAGTGCTGACTCCAGCCTCAGCACAGTAAGAGCATGAAGGTTTTCCTACTGTATGTAGACTCATTTTTTCTGCTCTCTACCCACAGCTCATACTTTTTACTCTCTTGCTAAAAATAAATATCTTATAGTTGAAATAAAATACTTAAAATAGTTTAAGCATTTTTGTGCTGATTGACTGGTTGATAAAGCGAGAAAATGCACATCCAAACTACAATCGGGAATTGTTTTATAGATTGAATGCAAAGTAAAATTGGGATACCTGTGTACACTGGCATAAGCGCAGGCTGTGTAAAGCAGGCATGTCTCCACACGTTATGTTCATCACAAATCCTTTCTCTGCAAGCACCGGAGTCGCACAAAAGCCTCTGGCAGCCATGACTGCGTCCCCATCAATATGCTGTGTCAACAGCACTGGATGGAAGCTTTTCAGTCCATGAGAGTGTGAGTCAATGGGCCTTTCAAACAAGAAAGAGAGAATGTAAGAGAGAACATTACTGGAAAATAATACTTTAGAGTTATTCTTTAAAATAGTTTTTAGAGTTGTAAGCCTTGACCTTCATGCATATGTCAGCATTCAACAAGGCCTTCATTGCTGCTTTTGTGCCTAAGACAACTGCAGCTGGCGGGGACAGACAGAGTGCTTCACACCACATTTATGCTCCTTTACAAATGCATTCCTCAATAACACCATCGTTTTTGTTTCTTCCCTGCTATCCTCACCTGCTCCTTCAGAGTCTAGAATCAGTGATTGGTTTAAGTTTTTTGTATTGTTACATCACTCAAACATATCAAAAGGGACATTGTTATGGCTCCAGAATTCCTTGTGTTATTATTTTTGAATGAACGATTTACTCATCTGTTTGCCTTTTATCCTCTTTGTGCATTAAACAATATAATAGCTTATTATTTGATTTTGGAAAATGGAAGATGTTTGAACAGAGAAGACTACGACAGGAGCTGATGCAAGTATTATATTCGAAACTCTCAAATGCAATGACAAGGTCAAGCCAGCTTACTTCTTCAGAATTAAAAGGGAAACAGGAACCAGGAGGCACAAGGGGAAATTACATGGAAGTGTTTCTAAAACTGAGAAGAAGAGGCACTTTTTTACCTAAGGGGTAAAGGGGTAATGGGAGAATGCAACAGACAACCCAGACATGTTGTTGAAGCTGATACCCTGGATTCTTTTAAAAAAAACATCTGGATGAGATCCTTGGATCAATTAACTACTAACTACCAAATGGGCCAGGTGGGTCAAATGGCTCCTCTCATTTGTACCCTTCCTTATATTCTTTGTTCTTGTGCCACAATATAACGCGATTCCTAACAATGCAAACTGCATCACCTGTATTTTCCATTTAGATTTTTATTCTGCTGGAATTTTACAGGTATGACATGGGTCCTAGACCAACACAATAATGACTTTCTGGGAATCTTGTGTCCTTCATGAGGTATTGCAAAGCTTTAGGGTTTATATGGGCCCTCCTTGGGCAGCATGGTGGTGTGCTGGTTGGCACTGCAGGATTTTGGTTTGAATATATTGCCTGGGTGTCTTTGTCATGAAGCAGCTCTTTCCGGGCCCTATGCAGACGACGCGATCCGGAATTGTGAAGATACACTAGGGAGAAAGTCATGCAGGATACAGGGAGGCGTGTCCGAGGTGAGCAGGTGTCCTGGGGAAGTGAGTCCGGGCGAACAAACAAAGCCAAAGTCCAAATGGGGAATCCAAACGGAAGAGTAGAGTCTGGCCAGGAGATCCATCCAAGGGTCGGGACCGGCGGGGCAGGGAATCAGGAACAGAAGGTTAAAACTATAATGGAGCCAGATGCTCAAATGAGGTATGCGAAGTGAAGTCTGCGTCTGGATTTTAAGGGG